GATTAAAAAAAAATCACTCTCCAAAACTCCATTAATAATATTATTAATGGCAAAAAATCGCAAATAAACCAAAAAGGCAATAAATAGCCATAATAATAGTATTATGTTAATTTGGAGACTAAATATGAAAAAACAATAGTTAAAACTGTTAAACTTTAAAACATTTTTGGATATAACTTTAAAATGTAATAAAACTTAAGTCCGAAAATAAATGTCACATAAATCAATTTGGAAACAATTCATGACTTAATACCATAAAAATAATGTTATCATTAATTAAAATATTAATAGTAATAAGGAGCATTATAATCACTATGAACATTTTAATAATGACAAACATGGTAATACATATCTTAATGTTTCCATATTCTTAAGGATAAAATGTGACTAGTTCAAAATGGTTAACAGCTATAACAGTAGTTACCAATAATAATAAACTGTAATTAATGATTTGCGTACCTTAATGATGCAAACTGCATCTATCAATAGCACTAACAGCGATAGCGAAGAAAAACCTCCAAAATCTCCCATCTTCACGGAGTGTTTAATTGAATCGCCCAATGGTACGCAACAGTTTATTGGTAAGAAAATGAAGTGACATGGGTAATCTTACCAATGTACCAAATATAGTAGATTACCATGAATTAATAATTATTATGAAAGATAATAAATGAGATTAGCCCCTAAACTTAATAACATTAATTAATAATAATTGCAATAAATGTAAAATTGTAATTAAGGGATGCTAAATATTAATCTCAATTTACCACATAATAATTAATCAAGACTGTAATGAGTCGGAGACTAAAATTAAGTTATAACCAAATTACCAATAATGTAAGGCAACATAACTATGTACATTGCTTACCATTAAGAAAACAGAATATTATTGTTAAGGCCCCGAAAACTATTAATAGATTAAACAACATAATTAACTTAAATAATAGTTATAATTCTTAATGGCCAAAACAATAATTATAAGTCTTAATGACTTCAAATGGTAATTGTAATCCTTAGATACTTAATGACTCAAAATCAGACAATGATAATAATTATAGCACAAAATTGCTTAAGTCAGGCCCATAAACCTTTGTCCCAAGTTAATTATAACATGAATGATAAATGCTCTAATATGGAAATAGATCCAAACATTATATTATCACCAACGATAAATACCGTTAACAAAATACGGTAGTTAGTAATAATTGAAGCTTAATAAACATGTTATAATCAAAATAAAAAAGAATGTGCTACAATTATTATTATTAAAATATCAATCAAATAATAGTAGGATCCATACTGACCAAGATAGGTCCTAAATAGCTTGTTCAAAATAGGTTTTAAAGTCCTAAGTGAAAATTAGGACTAAAATATGCTCAAAATTAAATGAAAAAACCAAACAAACCGCCTTAATAGGCTATAATGTCCAAAATTAGCCTAAGTATCCAAAATTGAATGATATTTAATATAAAATCTATGAGTTAATAATATGCTATATCCAACTTTAATAAATGCTTTTCTAAATGTACAATTATAATAAAATAATTTAAAATATACAAAGCATGTTTGGATTTTGCAAATTAATATATTATTAACTCATAAATACTAAATAAATTACAATAATTCAAGCAATTTTAATATGCACATCAATATTAAATTAAAATTCAAGTAGCAAATTTAATACTTAATATTTGCTCAAAATTGAATAATAATTAAATTGTGACATGAATTACGGTAATTGAACTAATAGCGGCAATAATTCAATCACAAATAATGTCACAATTAATCTGAACAAAAATTTGAAAATTTTAATGCCAAAATTAAATAATAACTAAAGGGCATTATTATTTCAAAATTAAGCAATTACTAACTAATTTGCCATTTGCCACAAATAATAAATAATATATAGTATTAATTAAGGTAATATAAATATGGCAATAATGAACCAAATAATCACCATTTACCAAAACTAATATATATATATAAATATTAAATATAAGGCAAAAAGAATATATGGCAAATAAAAGATAATTGCTGCACTTTTAAAAGTAGCGTACCAGTTCCATCTGCTTCCAAAGAACTGCCGGGAAACCAGGGAAGAAGCCGCGACAATTGCTGAACTTTCGGCGTCCCATCTCATCGCCCAACACCCGCCGCCGACCTTAATAGCAGCGCGCAGATGAGGCAGCGGCAGACTGCAGCCAGCATCGCCTGAAGCAGGGGAGAGGCAGTGACGTCGCCGGAGAGTCCAACTCGCCTCTGCCGGCTCTCCTCAATGCAACGCCGGTCCGCCGATGCCGTGGTTCGCCGACGCCTCCATCTCTTGCGATGCCAAAACCCATGCCACGCCGACGGCCTTACGGGGAGGAGGAAGACAACCGGCGACAGCCTGCAGCACAGAACACCATCCTCCGCCGCCGTCCACGTATGCTGCGTAGTCGCTGCCAATGTTCTCCATGGCAACCAATGCCTCCCTCTTTTCACAAAACTGTCGCCGCCAACCATTCTGGATGATTGATGATCGGTCTCCCACCAACAGCACCCTATGGCGCTGCTTCATGCTACGCCGTCAATGGAGATCGCCGGAAAATCCGGAACACCGCCGATCATTTGGGGCCGTAATTGTGGGAAACAGAGACCAAAAACAGAATAAGAGCGATTCGCAATGGTTAGTTTCCAAAGAAAAAAAATTCGATATCCAGGCCAAGAAGAAAAAAAAAAAAATTATTCTGAATGCCAAAATTAATAATTTTTCTTTTGTTTCAACAGCCCAAAAAACATACACTGTCATATGCTAGACAAACATTGAATTTCCTAAAATTGTTTTCCAGGAAACAAAAGAACAAATATATTTTTCAAAATATATATTTGGCACTAATTAATCAACCAGGCAGGAATTGATTGGGCTAATACCAAATGTTAGATAATAATAAAGCTAACATAAACTGAAATAAACGAGTAACCTGACTCGTTACAGCGGAAGCTTTAGGACCTTTGAACATTCCTAGCCATAGTTGTGGAAATTGCCTCTGGAATGGTAAACCTGTAGAAAGTGTTTTGTCTACCACTTCTCTCCCGAATACGTGATGGTGCGTGTCCTGAACTCGGGAGCTGTGGGAGGACTCTTTTGCTTAGAAGCCTACATGCCATCAACATAGGCAGATATTCAGTTAAAGCTTAACTGAATATCCTGAGTTGCATAACAGATTAAGTCACTAATTGACTCAATCTCCTACTTGCACCACAGCCACCCAATAATACAATATATTATAATATATTGTATTTAGGGAAAATACTTACATTTTATCCTTCGTATCCCCATTGTGCCTTTTGTTTGTTCAAATAAGTGCTAAGCACTTATCCCCTCTTTGTGATTGTTTTTTCTTTGATTTACCCCGTTATTATAACACTTAGCCCGTGGCCAAATAATTCCCTTCCACCCTTGAGAGAATGAAACTTTTATCTTTATCTTTTCCGTAAGAAGAGTTTTATGGAGTTGTGCTACGAAGGAAAAAAAAAGCAGCTAGTGTTACAAATGTTCAAGTGTGGAGGTCATGAAAGTTTGGATTAAAATTATCTTGCTATATCCAAAAGAAGTCCAAAGACAAAGAAAAGAATGAAAAAAAAAAAAGAAAAAAGATTGAAAGTTTTTGAGTTTGGATCCCCACTTTACCAAGGAGTTGCTAAGTTCTGAAATGAAATTTGCTCCTTGGAATTATGATTATCTCATCTCTTCCAAATTTTGAAAAGTTTAGATAAATTGTGACATTCTCTCTTTTAGATTAATTTTTCCATACCACTTCTTTGTTAGCTATCACTCGTAGCCCCATTACAAGCTAATAAAGTCCTATTTGATCTTAGCATGAATTCTTAGATTTGATCTAGGGGAGTATGAAGGGCAAGCCTATGAGATCTCATTCATGAGCCGTGTCCTGCATAATCTCAACGGAGTATTTGTGCACACTTGATCCTCACATACTTTAAATTCTTGGTGCTTGGTTATTGGCTTGGAAATGGGTCTCTTATGTGCCAAACTAATTTGATTCTTGAAGCTTGTTGTTTTGTAGCAAGTGGGTTGGTGGTTTGAAAGGTTGTGCAAGAGAGAGCATGAGTAATTTGTATGTTTTGACTTGTGATTTTATTCCTTAGTTTTGCTTGAGGACAAGCAAAAGCTTAAGTGTGAGGGGGTGATGTTATCACATCTTTGCTTGTTATTATAGTTATTTTGAATCATCTCAGTATTTAAGTTCTTTAATTTTGCTTATTTAATACATATTTTCCTTGCTATTATCATTTAATTATGGTTCACACTTGTTTTGAATGTTTTACGGTGTTTGTTAGTGTTTTTGAACCATTGTAGGTCAATTCTATGAGCAAGGAAGTTCAAGGATGAGTCTGGAGCAATTTTGGACAAGTTCAGGGACCAGAAGGCTCGACGCGTTGAAAATTTCCAGAATGATTTGTGATCGAGACCCGCTGGTCTCGACGCGTCGAGCGACGCACGAAATTGTGCCAGCTTAATACAAAAGGGCGTTGGTTTCAGCATCCCAATTCAACTGCAATGTTTCCCAATTCAACTTCAATTCAAATTTCAATTTCAAGCTTTAATATTTAAATATAGGAATTATAATTTGAGTCCAATTTTGTACAAGATTCCTATTTCATCTCAACTTTGTACCCACTATTAAATCCCTCCTTCCTCAACCCTAAGGGGGAGACGGCGAGAACCCAGAGATTATTAGAGTTCTTTGTAGACAAGAAAGAGAGAAATCAAGAGGCTCAAGTTGTCTTTGGAAGCAAGGAGGAAGCCAAGGAGATTTGGGAGAATCGCTTGGTCAATTCTTGTACTCTTTTGATGATTTGTGATTCTTTATTTATATTTGCTATGTATAATTTAGCCATGCTTGGCTAAATTCCTTAGGGATTTTTGGGTGAATTTGTTTATGAACCTATGTGCGTAGTTCGTTAATTTCTTAATATATTTTTTTGAGAAAGTAAGCTTAATTCATTATATCAGAATAAAGAATGTTTACAAGAAAAGATGGAGGGGAGTCCAGCCACTCCCCGCAACCTGACTCAGAAAAGGCCTCCCTAGAAACACAGTGAGCGGCACGATTCGCAGATCGCTTAACAAAATAGAATTTTACATCCTCAATTTCAGATGCCAAACCCTTTACATCATCCACCAAATAGCCAAAAGCATATCCAAAAGACACAGAATGAATAGCATTACATACCAGTTGTGAGTCCATTTCCACATCCACACGTCCTAGTCCCGTAGCCTTTAGCCAGCTGAGAGCTTCTCTTACACCCAAGGCCTCGGCTTCCTTCACCAAATAAGTTCCTGCTACAAGCACATTCTTAGCCGCCAAGAACCCCCCATTCTCATCCCGCAGCACCCAACCCAATCCCATCCGTCCTTCCTCCTGCCGGACCGAAACATCTGTATTTAATTTAATCCTGCCCAACCGCGGCTTCTTCCAGTGGTCAGCGTCCACCGGCCCACTCACGCGATGTTCCTGATTCGCCCCACGCCACCCCTCCAGAAAGTCTAGGGCACGCTGCACCACCGTGGCTGAGCTATACACACTGCCCTTCCAGACACTGTCGTTCCTGCTTGTCCACAATCCCCAACATACCATTACAAACCGTGGCAAAGAGTCAGCACACAATTTGCTAACACACCAAAAAAACCAATCAGAGATATTATCACCTGCATAAGCATTCAGCTGTGGCACACCCAATAGGCTCCAAACCCGCCTGGCCTCCGCACAGTTTACAAAAAGATGGATCGCAGACTCGGCCACCAGCCTACACATATGACAATCAAGTGAACAAGCTACCCTCTTCACAGCCAACGCATCACGCGTGGGAAGGAACTCAGAAGCTAGCTGCCAACAGAAACATTTTACCTTAGGGGGGACATGTAAACTCCATATACGTGACCACGGCCGATCATCCGAGGCAACCATGGTAAGCCGTTTGTAGCATGACTTAACAGTATACATCCCCTTCGAATCCCAATGCCAAGTCCAGCGATCAACAGGCCTGCGCCAGCTAACCGGAGTATTCATAATCAATCTTGCATCACGAGAGTTAAAAATATCATTAATACAATCATAATCCCATCCCGTACCTTGGCCATTTAACAAAGACGTCACCCGGGCTCCAAAGACAGACTGGTGCAACTCTGTTTCTACATATGGGTTGTTGTCATCTGGCAACTAGGGATCCAAGCCAATTATCGTGTCCGCCCCATTCCCAACGACCCTCCTACACCCCTCCTTCAACACCCCTTGTACCGCCATAATACCCTTCCAAATGTAAGAGGGATTACTTCCCTCCGTTGCATCAAAGAAACCACACCTCGGGTAATATCGCGCTTTGTAAACCCGAGCCACCAAAGACTGTGGTCTGGTTACCAAGCGCCAAGCTTGCTTCCCAAGCAACGCTTTATTCATCTCATGCAATTTCCGATACCCTAAACCTCCACAATCCTTCGGCTTACACAACCCTTCCCAAGAGCGCCACCGGATGCCCCGACCCCCTCCTACACTGCCAGTCCACCAATACTGATTCATCAACGTCTCAATCTCTCGACACAGCCCCACAGGTAACAAGAAAATCATCATTGCAAAGGTGGGCATTGCCTGAATCACATTCTTCAACAGGACTTCCCTACCTGCTCTCGATAGGAACTTTGCACTCCACGATCTGATCTTAGCTAGTATTCGGTCTTTGATGAAACCCAGAATCTCCTTCTTCCTCCTGCCAATTAGGGATGGAAGCTTTAAGTACCTCCCACTCGTAACCCCTTCCTCCACCCCTAGAACCTCCACCACCTCATTCCGTACATTCTGCTGAACATTTGCACTAAAGCACGCAGTGGACTTATCATAATTAACCCATTGGCCCGAAGCCTTAGAGTAAGTATCCAGAACATACCTCATCTGCACACTCTCATCCAGATTCGCCCGATGAAACAAGAAGCAGTCATCAGCAAATAGAAGGTGAGAGATCGCCGGGGCTCCTCTAGCAACTGTGACACCATGCAACACACCCCCAGCCATTCTCTTCTCCAACAATGCATTGAGTCCCTCGGTTACAAACAGAAACAAATAGGGCGATAGCGGGTCCCCCTGTCGAAGCCCCCTTCCCGGTAATATAGGCCCCAGTTGCCGGTGCTCATGCAGCACACTATAACGCACAGATGTAACCGTCTCCATCATCAAATCTACCCATTGCTTAGCAAATCCCATTTTCAGCATTACCGCCTCCAGATACAGCCACTCAACCCTATCATAAGCCTTGGACATATCCAACTTCAGTGCCACAACACCATTTTGTCCCTGCGTTTTCCTCTTCAGGTAGTGGTGCACCTCATATGCCAACATAATGTTATCCGAGATTAGCCTCCCCGGAATAAAAGCACTCTGTGCACTGGAAATCAAATTATGCAACATATGTTTCAACCTGTTAGCACATACCTTAGCCGCAATTTTATAAACCACGTTGCACAGGGCTATATGGCGAAGATCCTTCATAGACACCGGACTCGGCTTCTTAGGCACCAATACAATAAAGGTTTCAGTTGCCCTCCGGGGCAATTTGGCAGTCTCAAGAAACTGCTTACAAAATAACCACACCTCTCCCCCGACAATGTCCCAGTAGTGCTGAAAAAACCCCGGGCCAAACCCATCAGGTCCAGGCGATTTATCAAGATGCATTTGAAAAGCCGCTTCACGGACCTCGTCCATACTCAGCGGTCTTAACAACCCCGCATTATCCACATCAGAAACCCTCTTTGTAATAACATCAATCACCTCCTGTATATCCCCGTAGTCCGGCGAGAACAACTCCTCAAAATATGCCACCATCAACTCCCCCAACTGGTCCTCCCCTTCGACCCAATTACCCTCCCCATCCTGCAACCTCACCACCTTATTCCTTCGCCGGCGGGCTTTCACTGAATTATGAAAGAACCTACTATTCACATCGCCCCCCTTATACCAGTGCTCTTTAGCCCGTTGCTTCCAATACAAACTCTGCTGTTCTAACAAAAACAAGTGTTCCTTCTGCGCAGCTGCATAACCTCTCATCCCATACCCATCCCGCCGCATACACAACCTCTCCATCTGACCCTTACAACGGTCTATCCTCCGCTGGAACTCCTTATTATACTGTCGACCCCAACGGGCTATATCCGTGGCACACATACCGATTCTAGAAATAGTATCCAAACCCGCAGACCGAGTCCAGCTCTGCACCACAATCTCTCGGCACACATCCTCCCGTAGCCACATATTATCAAAGCAAAACCGTGGCCGTCTCCGAATCCCGGGTAACACAACTGGAGTGACTAACAACGGCGAGTGATCACTGTAAGGGACAACTAAAGATTGCGCCCGTACACCCTCAAATAGAATAAGCCAATCATCAGATGCAAGGACACGATCCAACTTTTCCTCAATCATATGATCAGTTCCCCTGGACTTCACCCATGTGAACTGATTTCCACTAAAAGGCACATCATGCAGACCACAATCATCCACCACCGCTCTAAACCCACTAATCTGCCACTCCGGGTGAGGCACACGTCCCCGTTTCTCTGACTGGTTCATAAGATCATTAAAGTCACCCACAACCAACCAAGGCAACTGACTCCGCCCCGATAGCGTGCGTAACATCTGCCAGGCCTCCCTACGTCGGGTACGTTCCAGATATCCATAATACCCCGTTAAACGCCACTTCGGACTCCCAACATCCAACTCAACCTCAGCATCCACATGATTAGCATAATAACCCGTTACCCTCAACTCCACCGTATTCATCCACAATACCGCAAGTCCCCCACTATGCCCATCTGAATCCACGGCAAACACACTATCATACAGCAACTGTACACGCACCTCCTCCATCCTGTGCTTATCAACAAAAGTCTCAACAAGAAAAAGAACACACGACCTCTTAGAGCGGACCAAGTCCACTAGAACCCGAATCGCCGTAGGGTTGCCAAGCCCCCGACAATTCCATGATATAAGACTCATAATTCTGGGCGGGTCTGCGCCGCAAGACCCGCCTCCAAGCCGTTTTTTGAACCCGTAACATCACAGTCCATCTCCGTCTCCGCCGCGTCCTCCTCCACTCGCCTCCGTTTCTGCTCCCCAACCACCACACAACCACCGTCCCCCCTCCCCACCACACTGCCCCCTCCCCCGCACACCACACTGCCACCCACACTCCCTCCCACAATACTGCCCCTCATTCCGCCAACCTCACTGCCATCTTTTCCTCCCAACCCAACATTGGCCCCCACATCCCTCCCCTCACCGCCTCCCACTATACTGCCCCCAACACCGCCCCCCACACTGCCACCATCCCTATTTTCCAGCACAGAACCCCCTCCACCGCCCTCACCACAGCCTCGTGCCCCCTTGTCCACCCCAGCCTCCCCATCCAGTCCACCACTCGCCTCACCAACACTGGCCACACCCCCCATTACCGGTGACCTCCATAGCTTCCTCTCAGCAGCAACCTGCGGTGGGATCCAACACTGATTTTGCGTCGGCGTAGCTCTCCTCGTCCCCGCCCTAAGCCAAGCCCCATAAGGTTTGTCCACAATCGGTTTCTCCCGCCCCAATGCTAGGCGGCAGAATCTATCCCCGTGGCCAATCACCCCACACAGGAAACAAAACGTGGGTAGCCTCTTGTACCGGAAATCCACCACAACCCATCCAGCACCCCCCTTCTTCAATCTCATCTGCTTCTTAAGTGGTTTAGACACATCAATAGAGACCCGAACACGGAAAAACGTTCGTAATGAACCATCAAAATTACGAGAGTCTGTTTGAACAACCGAGCCCACAAACGAGCCAATTGCCCTCACCACTACATCACTCCGAAACCCCACCGGCAGTGCATGAATCTGTACCCAAAACTTAGCATGCGTTAGGGCTACCGTCTCCGCATCAACCCCAGCCGGCACCTCCTTCATCACCAACAAGCTTTGCTCATATGCCCACGGCCCCTCGCTCAAAACCCTACTACGATCCCCCTCATGATAGAAGCGAAACAAAAACTTTCGGGGCTCCAACTCCCGCATATTAACCCCCATAGGCGGCTGCCACACCCCAGCCATTGTATCTTGAAAGAAAGCAAAGCGTACTGACCTGGTTGTGATTAACCTCCCTACCGCATAGTAGCAGTCCTCTTCTTCAACCGTAGCGTCATTCTCATTCATAATCTACATGAAGCTTCCATCATCATCAACATCCGCCAGAGTCAGGCCTGCACACTGGTCGGCGACATCATCGGCTTCCATCGTGTCCTTCCCGCAAACTTTCGTCGCCACGGCCAAAACGCAAGAAAACCTCGGAAAACCCTAGAACTCGCGAAAAACGGCGAGAGGAAAATT